TAACAACAACAACAACAACAACAATAATAATAATAATATGCACACTTTTTCATTCATATATTAGTTTGTGTAAACTCTATTTATTAGAATATCTTCCAACCAAAGGTATTTCCAAACCAAACTTCTAACTTAATATCCAGCTTTTTCTTCACATAGTTACCCTTTTACAACATATATAATATATAATTTTGTTCTATTATTACAAATTAATATATTATCGTAAGCTCTTGCTTCCAAGTTACGTGTTTGTTAAAAACATTGAGCTGCACCTCCTATTTTGAGCCTTTGTACGGTACTTTTATATTGAAGGCCATTTTTCAGACGATGGGCGATGTCGTCATTTCCGGTCCGTTTCCGGGAGCTGATTCATGTTGGGTTAGAAAAGCAGCGTGGTGCGTTTAAGAGACAAACACATGCTGGTTTAAAGCCACACAGCTAAATAAGAGTGTTTTCCAGCAGGCTACCATGGTGAGTGTGTGTTTTTTTACGGGATTTTAAGGCCTAACGAGGCAGAGCCTCTAATTATTTACCTCTAAACGTGCTAAGCTAATTCAAGCTAATGACAACAAACCTGAAGTTGTCAATTTCTCGTCTTTCCAAAAGCATTTATTGTATAATGTTTCAATTAGCACTGATTCTAGTCAGGATTTAACGTTATTTGGGATTGTATCAGTCATTTCTAACGTCATTTCAGACTTTTAAATGATGTATTTTCTCTGTCATGTGTGTAATAAAAGAATAATAACAATAAATAGAATGAAAATAAATTAGAATAATCGTTGTTTTCTTGATTATTAATGAGGTAACATGTCCTTCTTGGCTTTCTTTGGTTTCCCCCTCCAGCTCCCTTCAGACTTCAGGTCTCTGATCCAGAGGTTTTATCATCTGCAGGCTGAGAGGATTGAGACCTATCGACTCTTTGAAGAGTACGTTTGGTTCCCTAAATGTGCACATACATGTGATAAAGTATAAGTTTTAATCACTAAGATTTTAAATAATTTAAGTTGTCATTAAACTGGAGAAAACCAACCAGCTGGTTCAGATTTTGCATGATGGTGGCACAAGGAAAAGATTAATGATCAGCCAGCAAAGCTCCTTTAATATCCTTATTTATGTCTTAATTTAGTATATCCAGATAACATCTATCTCTATTAGAAAATAGGAACAACAAGAAAATTCAAATGGATCTGAACCACATTTGGAGACGGTTTAAAGTTCATTAAATGTGTTTCAGTCCTCTAAAGACCAGTCCTGGTTCCAACTTCAGAGAGAAGATGCAGAGTTTGTTCAGTCTGATGAAAAGCAGGAGTATTTTTTAGTGTTTTACAGTAACAATGGAGTCTGTCTCTGTCCCTTTGGCTCCTGAATGTCGTCCAGGGGCCACGAGGCGTACCTGAGGACGGGACCCCACTACGACTTTGACCACTACAAACAACTGGTCCACGAGATAACGCAGGCCTTCAGCGGCATTTCCAAAGAAGTGCTGGAGATCAAAGAGCGGCTGCAAGCCGACTTCGACCGCCCGGACCTCTCTGAGCACATGGAAAAGCTGCAGAGCAAAGAGAAGCAGAAGCTCGAACTGGTAATTAAACACAGTTTTAATTGAATAAACCGAGAAATAAAAAACAGCTGCGTCAAAATGCAGAATATAAGTCTTTGTCCTGCCCTGGGTTATTTATATGTTGAGAGGGAAACAGGAAAAAGGTTAATTGATTTACTGAAACCTTCTCAAAAAAGCATGGAGATACATTATCTGAGGCTAAAGGAGACAAACTCTTAACTCTCTCTGTGAGGAGCTCTCCAGCCTCCTGGAGTTCTTCCAGGAAGGAAGTTTTTCCTTCCCTCTGTCTCCTAGTGCTGCTCTTGGTGGGAATTGTTGTTGTTGAATTGTTCTAAATAACTTTAAAGTCCGATCTGAGCTGCTCTGTTTGGAAAGCTGGGAGATACCTGTTGAAGGGATGTGGTGCTATAAAAATAAAATTGAATTTAATTGAATTTAATTGACCTGTGGGTCTGGGGAGGATTCATTCCCCCATCAGAGCTGCTGCCACTGGTTTTTTTCTCTGGAGAACATTTCTCATGAGGCTTCGGTGGTGTCCGAAAGCAGCTTTTTACCATCCATTCTTGGAAGCTTTAAGTGACAAAGAGTCGACACACAAACCTAACGAGTTGGTTTCCGACTTCAGCTTCTGATGGGTTTGAAGTTCTGACGAGAGAAACAGATTTGAGCAGACTTTGGGAGCAGTTGGCTGCTAACTTAAAGCCTCCTCTTTCCTTTTTTTGATAAAAACCCAACTTTGGAGCATGTGCGAGATCCAGGAGCCCCATATAAAGAAATGAGACACAAAGAAATGAGTGGAAGCTCCCGACTTCATGTGTTTTTACTCTGTTTTTATTACAGACTGCAGACAGGCAAAAAAGCGAATTGAAACATTTTAATTGGATGTTTGCAGAAAACCAATGCAATAAAAAGTCCAAACTTGGGTTACAGTTAATAACATTTCATTTTTAATGAAATAATTTCTCTTTGAAGTCTTTTTACACCTTTATAATGTTAATTAACGTCAGGTTGGGTCATAAATGACAGGATTCAGAACAGATTTTCAGCACATGGTGCAGTTCCATGGATGACCACAGGGTGGCAGAGCTCTACTGAAAAGAGGCTTTTCATTATGGCCCCACTGAACAAAACAGATTTATTTTCCTGCTCAGATCTGTAAGATGATGTTTCCCTCTTACATTCTGTCCCTTAGCAGGGAACCCCACAGGTTTATCTCCCCGTTTAAAGAAGGTTTCTCCCACTAGAGCTGTGTTACGTCCACCTGGCTCGTTTGGGGGGGGGGTAACATTAATGGAGACCACACAAAGATCTTCTGAGTTAATGAAAAATGAAATGTATTAAATTATATTAAGTAAAACCTGAAAAGGGATTACCTGAAATAAGAAGCCAAAACAGATTAATACAAAACCCATAACCAATTAGAAGGTCCAAACCAATCATAAGGTCCAAACCAAAACCAACTGGGGTTCTGAGGAGAGAAAAAAGCCCCTTGACTGCTGCAGCATGACAGCTTTTAAAAGCAGCAGAGCACCAATCTTTATTTATTTATTTATTTATTTAATCAGGACAGTGCACATTAATGAACAATCTCATACAGATTGTAAATGAGCCAGATTCTAGCATAGTTGCTAGTTTACATCTGTAGTCCTGAGGCAGGAAGACCAAACAACACAAGATCACAAAATACAAAATCAGTCCAAACACACGTTCAGACAATGACATTACAAAATTAAAATGAATTAAATTCAATTTAATTTGAATTGAAATAATACAATTATTTCAATTAATCCTTTAACTCATTGACTGCCAGCCATTTTCAGAACAGAGTCCCATACTGCCAGAGTTTTTTGAGCATTTTGACTGATTTTTCAAGAGCCACAGAATAGTTTGTGCTATGACTATTTAAACACCGAACACACCAAAAGAAAGAGTAGACTCTCTTCTTTCATCACGAAAAGAAATTGTTTCTACCTTATTCCGTTCTTCCTGGACTTGCGTCTCACCGGCGACATGTTCTCTCATAGCGAACCGTTACCTTTTTCTTATTTGCCTACAGTCTATGCTCATCTCCCATCAAAAGTGGCACTGCCCCCTAGAGGGTCAATTTGTTACTACATACTCTGTCTAGAAGCCGATATTTACG